ATTACACAAATCATCATAAGTTAAAACTTCTAATAGGTGAACGGAGACCACACCCAAAACATTCAACTGGAAGAACTGTAAAAAACAGATCATAAGAAAGTGACAATTTGAAATCACAAATAGCAACATGTGTTCAGAACCTTAATTGTCATTGCTAATGTTCATACAGGTCTATAATAACATAATTTTTCACCAATGCTCCTAAAAGTTACCTCAGAGAGATGTGGGTAGAGACCGTTAATGCAACCTTCACCTATGGCACCAAGCGCCAAAACCGCAGCTTCTCTGTCTTTCCAGGCTTCATCACCCATAGCAGACAACTTAGCCTACACAGAAGGAACGTACAGATTTTAAAATCTTGAGAAACAAATCTAAAATTAACAAAACATGAATGTGAAATATCAGTTGGAATAGCACAAATCAATATCTTCAGTTTATCAAGTAATAAATTACAGGATCATAACGAGCAAACTTCAAAATAATAATAATAATAATAATAATAATAATAATAATAATAATAATAATAATAATAATAATAATAACAACAATGATTACGATAAAACAATTTAAGTTTTACTAAACAATCTTCAAAGTTCAACCTGGGAAATTCTAAGCATGAAAAAAAAAGGCATAGGGAACTAAGGACGCAAAATAAAGAGCAGCAACTGCATAACCATGCAACTTTTAACCTGTACAATGGGCATCAAGGTGGGTAAGATCTCATCCCCAAACACATTGGAGAGAAAGTCTAAAGCAGCCGCACTGCACTTGCGTAAGTTCCAAGCATTTACAATGTCATCATCCTGAAATCACACCCAGGAAGCACATAATATTGCACCAAAGATCTATAAAGAATACTACTCAAAACAAGAAGCGAAATGCATAAGAGACTACTCATCCATTCTAGTCAAACCAGCGGCAAATATCAAAGCTTATATACTAGTATACCTCATCTTCCAAATCTTCTGACCCATGAAAACGTGATGAATGGAAATGGGGTTTCAGATCCTGCATAAAATATTGCTATGAGAAACATTTCACAAACCAACAGGCAATTTCAGAGGCACATAAACGGAATTGCAATAGAACCTGATCTCGATCTGGAAGAGATCCATCCTCCTGCCAAATGACATAGTCAGTACGAAACAAACAGCATTAATTTCAAAATCTTATTGAAACAATGAAAGATAAGGATCAGTAAATAAATCATAAATATAACCTCAGCTTCCACAAGAGATTCATCATCGTCAGCATATGCCATGTTTGAGAGCAAAATCTGTAAAGGTTAAGAAAATATATCAACAAACTAAGCATAGCCATGTAAATAATTAGATGGGGCAAATTGACTATAGCTCACTGGTATAAGACGTGGTAAAAACTCTCGCAAGTTTCCTGGAGGCAATTCAGCTTCACAATAAGCAGACCTGTGAAGCAAAAATAAGGTAAATACATATGAGAGTTCATACTCGAAAGTTTAATACATCATTCAGATCATGTCAGGAAAGACATGCATATGTCGAAACTAGCAAATACACGGACAACATAGAGACAAACTAAATTACGGAAAGACACACCGATCAAAAAAAAATTATGGAAAGACATGCAACCTATCAAAAAAATATGGGAAGAAAATGTTTGTTAGCAAGGAAGGAATGGAAACTCATTTGCTCATCTCAATAAAAGAGAGGCACGCAAGTTTCTTTATCCAATGAAGGAATGGAAACTCAGTATCTACCCAGAATCCATTAAAATATACTTAAAAGTTAGGATATACTTTAACTGAAGACTGCAATTCTTCATTCTTAACCNAAAAAAGGTAATGCGGGAACTAAAGATACAGAGTACTTCACCCTCCGCCTATCTCAATAAGAAATCCGATGTGTCAGATGACAATTAAGCAAATTTAAGATAAACTAGAGTATTAACTTACAGTATACATAAGATACAATGCAAACACAAAACAAATACAGTCTCTACCGGAGTCTTTCACAATAATATGGACAAGCTCAGGGCTACACAACCAGGATAACCAAGCGCACGTCGTGTTTAGCCATCCTTCTATATATATTTCATTAATGGTGACTAAAAAGATAAGCAGATAGACTAGGAGTAATTAATGTACCAAAATTCACAAGCTTCTAAAGCCACTTCATCATCTGGGTCCTTATTGACTAGCAACATATATTCGATTACGTTCCTCAAATGTGGCTGCAGAATCAAATCATAATGCGTAAGTCACAGTAACAGAAAAGCTCAGGACATTACAATCTGTTAAAATAATATTATAACAAAAATCTAGGTAATAGCATCTGAAAAGACATGGTTAATAACCTTGCAAACTACACCATAAGCTTTTAAAAATTTGAGAGAGACAATGAATTACCCACCTCCAAGACAGCAGAACGAACTTCAATTAGCTGAACAAATGCAGAACATACCTGCTCGGCACATAAAAGAGAGAGAGATTGTGAGGAACGCCGAAACAGATGGCTACATATCTAAGGAATTCATATTTCACTACTTGAACCAGTACATAAAAAAACTTCAGATTGATTAGTCCCATCCAGTGCATGGCTGGCACCCATTCAGAAATCACAAGGAGTGGATATAAGATCATATAAAGGTACAAAATTGAAATAATAAGAAAAATAAAAACAATGAAAAATTATCAAGCAGGGTATTATTTATTCATGTTTCTAATTTATAATTCTTTTAGATGTTAAGTCATCAAATCTATTTCATGATTTATATATAGATTTATGAAAACTCATCAGTTTTTGTGATTTTTAATACTATATTCATATAAAATTACTTATTCACTTATTTTTTTAATTTATCAAAATACACAATGTTATTTATACATATATTACATTATTTTTTTTCAAATTTATCCACACACACACACACACACACACAAAATTTTACATAAATTTCCAACATTTTTCTAGTTTTAATGGGTCAGCAGGACCTATGGTTTGACAGTTGATCTGATTTTTGGCCCCCCAGATATATCCTCTCTGATCCACACAATTGATGTCTGAAAATGATCGTTCTTATTTTAATTTGTATTTAAACTCTTTTTTTATCTTTTCAGTTTAAACATCTCTATTGATAAAGCATGTTCAGAGCATACAAATTGTGCAATACTAAAGTTGCAAGACCAATTTATCTAAGGATTATGCCTACAACAAACAGATAATTTTTATAAGAACATATTTTTATATCAAAAACAAGTTTAATTTTTTTTATATACCTAATATTAGTAAAAAAATAGATACAATTGGACACTTCTTCATTTGGTAATACCAATAGTCTATCTATATACTTCTTTGTCTTTATAATAAGTGACGAGGTTGTTTATATACTGCGAGTAAAAACAAGTTTAATTTTTTTTATATACCTAATATTAGTAAAAAAATAGATACAATTGGACACTTCTTCATTTGGTAATACCAATAGTCTATCTATATACTTCTTTGTCTTTATAATAAGTGACGAGGTTGTTTATATACTGCGAGTGTTCACACTAGGGGCGGTACCGTAATTAACCAACTCTTTAAGTGTGAACGCAACAAACCAACAATAGTGTTCACACTAGGGGCGGTACCGTAATTACTTGGTTTGTTGCGTTCACACTTAAATAGTTGGTTAATTACGGTACCGCCCCTAGTGTACCAATTCAAGCAGGACGAGGTTGTTTATATACTGCGAGTGTTCACACTAGGGGCGGTACCGTAATTACTTGGTTTGTTGCGTTCACACTAAAAGAGTTGGTTAATTACGGTACCGCCCCTAGTGTGAACACTCGCAGTATAAAGATATATATTATCTACAAGAAGGGGAAAAAGGAAAGAAAAGAAAAGAAAAACAAGATAATTACTTCAGCTGAAATGCAGAATTTAGGTATAATATACTATCAGATAACCCAGCACCAGAGATGAAAACAGCGTGTAAGGATCATCTAAGACATCTTGACAAAAACTCAAAAGCATAGCTTGGACCTTTGACCAATTCAAAAGTCAGGCAAAAAGGTTTCTTACCAGCTTCCGCACCTCTGCAGCTGGATCATTGGCAAGATGAAACAAACCTTGCAAATATTTATCCATTTGCAAAGACAGAACCTGCAAAGTTATGACATAAATTTCTGTCCCATACGGCATGAATGAGTGACTGAAAAGCAATGAGTCAAAGTATAAGTCAGGTGCACTCACTCTTGGCATTAGCATAATGTACTGATTAACCGAACTCAAAGAAAGCTTTCTTAGGGCAGTATGCGGTGATTGGAAAAGCTGTTTCATACAAATTGGAGAGAAAACGTCATACTTATGAAATCACATGTCGAAATTCCTCCTGCTTCACGGGAGGGAAGGGGGAGTGTGAGAGAGATAAGAGGGGTCGTCATAAGAACCTGGAGGAATCTTGGAATAAAAGCATTAACTGGTCGCTCAGATAATCCAGAGATATCAGCATCAAGCAAATGAGGCACATCTTCACAAATCTGTAGTTAGGACACGTCAAGGCGTTGTACAGACCACAAATAAGCTTCACATTTGTTTTCTCAACTTCAGTAAGGTCATAAGAAGGTAGAGGACTCCGATGTGATACAGAACTTATAATAAAACACTCGAGCATGATAATGTGGAATTTGCAAACACTACATTCATCGTCAAGTCCTCTTGTTCTGATTAAGAAACTTCTTTTAATTGAAAGTACAGAATAAACAAAACAGTGCCACTTTATATTTAAAGTACTATAATCATCAGTCTATATCATAGAGGGCAATGAAGCTTATATCAGTAACATTTATTTTGTTCACATCGATCCAAGGCAGGGGATGAAGAGCCTGTTCACTTGCATATCTAGTCAATATAAAAACCAAAATGAAACAAAAACCGAAATCCTTTGACATTGCTGTTCATTTATAACACGTGAAAGCCAAAAAAAATGCACACACCTTAGACAAAGCATCCATAGCACCTTCCATATGATTGACATCGTTACTATCTAAGCACTTCACTAATGCATGTAGCAATTCAGGCCATCCAGCAACTCCCCCAATCTGAACGAGTGTGCTAATAATGGTCCCAGCTGTTGATCTGATCTGCCTATCCACTGCTCCCATACAAGGTAACAACTCCGACTTTATATACTGTTGGTTAGCTGGTGGCATGCTTTCATATGCACTTCTCAGGTTATTCTTCAAAAGCAAGCCTGCTGCTTGCCTAACCTCCACTGAAGTTCCCTGCAATGTTAAATTCAAACAATTAACCAAAAATTCCACTTCACCATCCCGGAAAATATAAATTTAAGTGTTAACATATTGTCCATCAAACACCAAGATACCAACTTTGAATAATTAATTCATTGAACTCCCCTAATCTAGTTAAAAGGTTGCAGAGATGCAAGCAAACATGTCCATCCTATTACCTAAAATCAATACCTATCTCACCCTAGGTCCATGTTTCCATATAAACCTGTACTCCAAAGTCATGATTACATAAAAAAACGAATATTAAAAATGGGTATGATAAAAGAAAAGGATATAAATAGGCAAAAGAAATTTCACAAAAGATATTATATTAAAAGGGCAAATATTGTATAATTATTCGATTTTCCGCTATTTTTTCCATCCCTCTGTGTAAATAACCCATAATCATATGCGTCTACACATTCATATGTTTTTAAGGTATGAGGGTCAATAACCATGCATCAACATGCACATGGATACAAGATATAAATTGTGATCTAACGAGTTCCATCAAATTCTGCACTCCCGCTGCATATCAAAAGTCGTATTCAGCCTTTTACACAATTTTCTTCCATTTATCAGTAATTTCATATTCATCAAATAAAAGCATCTACTAGGAGGACATCTCATCTTCCATAACCCATAACCTCAGCTCAATTCTACCTATCCCTGTAAACGCGACAAAACCACTAGCTCAAAAACTTCATCGTCTATTATCTCATGAAGACGCCCACTGAGACCAACTAACAAACCTTCCNCTACAGCTAATCAAAGCCAAGAGGGTAAAACATCAGCCAGCACCAAGCTCATATTTAAGCACACACACCCAGAAATTTAGAGCCCAAAAAAACACAGACCTCGGCGCGGGCAAAAATAAAGGCGAGGTAATTATTGAAATCCGGGAACTGGGAGTAGTGCTGGAGCTTCTGCCATATCATCGACTTGTCGTCGGAGGTGGGAGCCATCTGCTGCTGCAACAGCCCACAGATCTCCCGTAGTCCTTCGTCCTCAGGCTTCCACCCGCCACTCGAACCCATCCTTATACCCTTTCTCAAACGGGGTATATCAAATCCAATCACTGCGAAATTCGAACAATTGGAGAGGATTATGCGGCCAGTGGGAGGATTAGCCTGTTGTTGTCGGAGAATGATTTGAGTGAGAGAACAGAAGCAGAGCCGACGACGCAATTTGAAGGCTCTGTTCTGATGGAGGAGACGGCAAATTTGCAGAGGAAAAAATTGGGTTTTTTCAGGCCTTGAGAAGTTGAGGGTGTGTGTAGGATCTGCTGCGGGCCGGTGTAGAATAACTTGAGAAGAAACCCAATCAGTGAATAATTTTTATTTTTTTAATTTTTTGTAGAAGGTTATGAAATATTGAAAAATTAACATGAAAATATATATAAAAAATAAATTACACAGAAATTGATATGATAGAAAAGGCTGGTGGAAGAAAGGAATAAATTCTGTTCTATTTAATGTTTTTTCTTTTCCATTTTTTTTATTGTGTTTCATGTGTGTGATGGTATAAAAAATTGTTAAGATAATATTTTTTCCTAGAGCATCCACAATGCTTTAAGTTCATTTAAAAAAATTATATATCACGTAAGAAATATACATAGTCTAGAAAAAATATGTTATTCAATGCAAGTGCAAATAAATTGGGTCTTGCTGATATGACAGCAAGAAAAAGAGATTCGGTCTACTATTAAGTCGATTTTAAACCTAAGTAGAGACCTAATCTCTTTGCATTTGAGTAAATTTTGTTAGTTTTATATAGCTCTATTCATATCATTCAAAACTTGAATTTATTTACATGTCACATAAGCAAAACTAGTATGAATCCCGTGTGATGCATGTGTAAGAGATATTTATTAATATTTATTAAAAATACTCATTAAATAATATTTATAAATTAAAAATATGAAGCCAATATGAAATACAATTTACCTATATTAATTTATTGAAAATGTTATATGAATTTTATATCGTGCAAAATTACATAAAAACATGTCAATTTAAAATTAGTGCACAACCCCGTATGGTACACATAACTGATAATAAATTATATTATATTTATTTCAAAATAAGTGTCATTTTAAAGCATATCAATTTAAAATTAGTACACAACATGTATGGTGCACGTAACTGATAATAAATTGCATTATATTCATCTCAAAATAAGTGTTATTTTTAAAATTTTTATTCAGAATTCTGATTTGACTACAATGTGATTCCATACAATAATTATTTTGGTAAAATTTTATTATATATTTAAAAATCTATGTGAATAATTAGTATAACTATAGAACTTAAATTGTTCATTATATTTATTTTTGAATAAACTCTCAAAAATAAAAACAAAAAAAAAAATTAAGTAGTTGAGTAATTTATTAAATTATATATAAATAATTAACTATTATCCAAAATTTTGACACTTGTTTTGATTTTTTTAACTTTTAATAACAGCACTAAAGTAATATGTCAATACTTTGGATCCAAAGGTTTACATGTTTTGATGGTCATTTCCTTCAAATGTACCTAACAAACATTGATCTCTCCATCTAAATATTATTACAACATAACACTGTCAATAGTCACGTTCCATAAGTTTGATCTCCAACCTTTCAGCATTCACTTTGGCAACTTCTAAGGCGAAAATCAATGCATCATGAATGATCTCGAAATATCGAGCACGATTCTCACCTAGGTGTACGTAGACCATAAAGTGCATCTATAACCTCCTCACCTTGCTCGTTTTATTCTGAAATGTCATATGATGTTTAGATCGTACTTTATTTGGTACGAAAATTTTAACTAAAAGATCATAATTTTTTACTTTGATAAATATGAATATTCATAGTTCTGTAACTATTGATTGAGCTATATATGAAATAATCGAGATTGTGAGAGCAGATAAAGTTTTTGTCAAGAATATAAAACTACCAAGCCTGTAGTGCCTCATGATCTTTTGGTAAAATTTGATACAAGTGCTTGTTGTTCTTGTTCATGTATGATTGTATTCTCTTGCCACTATATACTCCACTTAAAAAATTAACTTCTTATTTATTTTTGTTTTGATACTTTCAACCTTGTTTACTATGATAGAAATGTTTATTATAAAAAATGAATTAGTTGATTGCTGGCACACACTATGCTCCATGAATGTGAACTTAAATAAACTGGTGAAATTTAGGGGCAAAATAGTATTTTACACTATTGATATTGGTTTGTGTTGATTAAAGCCATTTTCTCCTTTTTTTTTTAAAAAAAAAAATTAAGTTATCCTACACCAATGACACATAACAAACACATAACAAACACAGGATAAAAATAACCTAAACAATACAATTCCACAACTTTGGATTATTTTAGTACAATCCCATCCCAAATAACAAACATGGGCCAACTGTTCAGATTTATTGGGTTTGAGATCAAAAGCAGAATACATTTGCCAAATCAGTGAAATCAAAATTTCAAAAACCCTCACCACCCCCGTTGCATTCCCTCATCTGCCGTCTCATCTCGGCACATTTTCTGTAGCGCCTCGTTTGATTTATAGAATTTCTCGGGTTATTCTATTTATCAAATATTATTTATAAGTTTATATTTAAATTATTGGTCGCGATGTCGACCTAATTAAGGTGTACTCGATCGTTTTATTTGAAAACGTTTGATGTTCGGCGATTTCAATTTAATCGTGTGAACCGAATATAATCCGTTTGAATAATGGATTTTTCGGATATTCTGGCATTTTTATTTATTTTTATTAAATTGTCAAAGTGAAATATTTGCTTGATAACATATTTATTATTGGGTGCTAATAAATATATATTATGCCGGTTTATAAATTTAAAGATTTACGGGTCGTCATATTTTATTTTTTCCGAGCGTTATGTATTTTTGGATTTTATTAAATTGAGCCTGGTAAACCGGTAGTCGAAACTGACCGATTCGTAAACCCGTTTATTATTATTATTGAATGCCTATCTGACATTAAATGTTTAATTGCTTATTATTATTAATTGATTAATGTGTGTATTATATATAATAACTATCCGGATTTTTATTTAATTTATCGTACGATCATCGAGCCGTTTAAAATTTTAATTCGAGAGTCGAGCTATTTTTGTCGAACTCCGCGTGAACCAGCCCAAAACCCAACCGGTTTTTCCCTGCCGACCCGGTCCGCCCATGTGTTGTGCAAAACTTGAGGAATAAGAGATGGAGAACCCTAAACTCATAAGTTTTAAATCGGATGCTCTCTCTTTTCTCTCCTCAAAACCAGACGCGCAGCTTTTTATTTTTCTCTCGTCATCTTCCTCGAGCTCGACAGAAACTAGGGAAATCTCACGACCCTTTTCCCTCCCGTTATTGTTTCTTCTCATCGCCCCTCAGATCTCGTCTCCCTCTCTCGCCAAAATCCATCGCCGCGACCACCTTCCTCTCTCTCCCTTCCAGCAAATTGATCGCTGCCTCTGCTCACGCGCAGCAACTCCGGCGAGACTTTTCCTCCGTGAGCAGGCCGCGAGCTTTTGACGCACAGAAGCCCTCGTCGCGATCTCTTCCGGTGAGTCCCTGCTCCTCCGCGAGCCCTCCTCCGGCGACCAGAACCGCTGCCCTTCTCCGGCGACCTCCAGCAGCACCTCCGCGACCTCCTGCACTCGCGAACAAACCCGGCGATCTCCCACCGCGTGGTCTGTTAAGTCCTCCTTCGCGATTTTCCTCACGCCGCGAACCTGCCCAGCTCCTCAGCCGCAACTCGCCGTGAAACCGAGCTCAACTCCGGCGAGCCCAGCTCCTCCACGAACCCTCGCTGTGAACCAGCAAGTCGTCTCGACCACTCGGACGACCCCCAGCAGCCACTCCTCAGCCGTCGCTGCCCCTGCTCGCGAGACGCCAGCCGCTGAAGCCGACGACCTCTCCTCTCTGAGCCTGCAACTCCGGCGAACCTCCACAGCCGAGCGACCATTGTAGCAACGGGTCCCGCCCTCGTCGGCCTGTTCTGGTTCACCACAACACTCGTCGGGAGCTCTTCGGCGAGCGTGTCGGCCATTCGAGTTCACCGAGCATTAGCCCGAAGTCCCGTTAAACCCTCGTTCGACCCGTCTCTAACTATCGTTTCCCGAGAACGGTACAAGTTGAACCCCATCTCGTTAAATCGTGAATATTTGTTTGCGTTATATGATTATTTGATGTAATGTGCTTGCTTTGCGTTTTAGTATTCGAGTATTGAAGTTATGCGAAATTGTGAATTAATATGTGTTTGTGTTTTCGGGGATATCTTCGATTATAAGGAATCGAACGAGACCTCGAAAATCGTGTAAGGCTGTGGATATTGGAACAATGTTGAATCCTTGGTCTTATGGGAAGGCCTCGGACGAGAAGTATGAGTTATATATTAAGTGTGAAATTGTCGAACATGTATAACCGCTGTTTTAGTGATTGAATTTTTAAAAATCGCACACTGCTCGGAATGACTTGAAATTTTGAGGGATATGTTTTCTGTTGATTAACAGTCCTCTGTAAAAATTTCGTAATGTTTGAAGACCTGTAGCTATTTTTAATAAATAAAGTGAATTCTGGTCAGAATCTTGTAAAATGCATAATTAATTGGTTCGTGCTTCAAATGTTCTGAAATTTTAGTATGTTATTCCTCTGTTGTGTTTATATGTTTTGTAAAAGTTTTGGAATTTTTGGACTGAATTTGATATGGTTAATAATTTATTTTCTATTTCTGCTGAAAGTTGTTTGAATTTCTATAAATCGGTTGGTTCCTAAAAAATTTTGAAACTTGGCTGAGATGCTTGCTATATGTGTAGAATCATGCTGTTAAAAGATGGAAATTTTTGAAGTTCGATTTGGTTCTGTTTTGATTTAAATTTGATAACTGCTGAATTATTTGTGAATTTTTAAAATTAGCACACCTAATTTCCAGAGCTGAGATTTTTACATGTTGTCTCTATCATGCTGTATCTTGTTGAGTTAAAATATCAAGTCCTGATTTGTTCATTAGGTTCAAATATTGATTTATGTGCGTTTTTGCTGATATCTTGTATGAATTTTATAAAATAATGTACTTTGAATTTCAAGTTGAAATTTTGTGGTTTTGCTAATTACTGGGAGATGTAATTTTGGTTAAAATTTTATAGCTTAAGTCATAGGGTAACCTGACCAACTAATTTTATGTGATTAATGGTCATTATTTTCAAAATATGATTTTAGAATTTAAATCGGGAATCGACTCTCTTTTCATTTTGTTGAGTGTTTGACTTGGTCAATTTTTATATGGATTTATGTGAACTCCCATATGTGGTTTGGTCGAGTATAGTGCAGAGTCAAAGTGTTCCAACGTCCACAGGACTTCACGAACAACTTAGTCGAATCAAGTTCGACTAAGTCTGATTTGTGTTTTCCGTTTAAGTCAAGATATTGATTGTAGTATCTTGACTTAATGTAGGTGTTTGAGGAGTCAAGCCTCGATCCACGTCTTTTCTGATTTGCTGTCATCAATCCAGATTTACCAGGTGGGTTGTTATTTTAAAATTACCTGTTCAATGTGTGTTTAAATATGTTTTTCTGGTTTGGCGTGATTTATGTCTTAACGTGAATATGTAGCCTATCGATGTGAGCTATTATGATGGCCATCGGTACGGTTGTCCCCGTCGATGTAATACGGTTGCTCTTGCGAGGTAAGTCTCCTTAAGACCTATTATGAAAGGCCGTGTCCTTACGTGGCACGTAATCTCGTCGTTAGGGTAATGAATCCCCTTTCCGCGACTATTATGAAAGATGTGTACACAAGAGTATTTACGTTTATGTTGGAGATGTGACATATGTGATATTATTTATGTTCATGCTGCGACCATGCCTATTTAACACATTACTAAATGTGCATTGCATAGTGTGAGTACGATATTTAACTGTACTCACTCTCACCTGCTCGTAACTGGTGCAGGTTAAGCAGTGGCGCGTGACGAGACAAGGCAAGTGGTGGTCATGCTTATTTATTATGTTTATTTAATTGCTTCCGCTTTTTCATGAACTTATGTTGGTATTGAACATGTTGGATTGGATTTGGAACTCGTTTATTTTGAAAACATTTGGATTTTGGTTTATGGTGAAAAACCTTTCTTGATATATGATTGAGAACATCCTTATGTGGTTAATGAAAACCGTTGGAAAATCGGGTAATGAATCCCCGTTGTTCAGTTATGACTTGAACTGTGTTTTTGAAAAGAATGAGTAACGCTAAAGGTTTATGATTCGAAAAATAAGTTTCGAAAATTTTTACCTTGATTTTTTGGAAGAGCCATGGATTTTCTTTAAAAATCGATTGGGGCGTTACATTTTCCCACCAGCCACCGCTGCCCGCTGCTCTCAGTCACGACCGACGCTGATTTCCGACCGCTACGTACGGCCACAACAACAATTAATCCCAGAAAAGGAAGGCCACGACCACGGTTCACGGAATACACTGTAAGCCATTTTCTTCTTGTAATCTTGTTTGATTTATTAAAGGTAACTGTTGAAGGGCCGAAAAATTGGGGACGAAAAATGGAGGTATTGGTGGTAACGGCGAGGTAGTGAAAATTGGGGCCGAAAAAAGAGTGAAAATTGGGTTTTGCTTGATGTTCACAACTTAGGCACAATCTTTCGCCTTACGCCTTTTGTGTTCTCGGTAGTCATAATCTATATTCCCATACGAGTTCCCTCTTATTTTCAAATATATCATTGGCAAGCTTTGAAGTACTCTATGTTATGGTGTTAAGTAAGAATGTTCCATATAGAGAGGTATGATAATTTTAAATTGGCAACCTTATCTATTTCTGTAAGGCACACCCATATTCCCCATACTCGCCTGAGATTTCATCTTTAGACATGGATGAATACAATGGTGTCTCCTCAGTTGCTTTAGCATAACTTGAGACCTTTTATCTGGCCTTTGCAGCTTGATAAAATGGAAAACATGATGTCCTCCATGTTTACTTATTAGTCTTGGAGCTATCGATATGAATTTTAACTCCAGCACGACACCAGTTTTTAAATGTAGATTGCAATACCATGATTTGCGAACTTCATTAACAATCAAAACTGGTAATTTTCTTATATTTATGTTAAACTTGGTGTAACTTTGAATACATACGCCAAGCTCCAAAGTTCATCCATTTTCAAACTCAATCAGGTCGTACTTCTTCAATTGCCCCAACATGTGGATATAAAGGACATGTTTGTTTATGAAATTTTTCACAAAAATTTCAACATTTTAACCCAACCACTTTTTTTAACTCAACTTTAACTCAGCCCTACTATCATCAAAATTATCAATATAATTAAATAATATCAATCAATCATTTATACACACCACATCAACCTTAATTTACTATTCATCCACTCACATTATTCTAACTAACCATCACTTCAAATCTCTCTCCTACTTTTACATCAAGTCAATTTTAATTATTTTATTATAAATATTATTTTAATATACACACTAACAACTAATCATACCACTTTTTTCAAAATTAACTAAACCAAACCAAAAATTCCAAACAAAACAAAAAAATTTTATAAACAAACATGCTCAAAATGTTCTAGTTTATTTTACCATAATTTTTGTTTTACAACTTTTTAACATCAATCAAATTTAATTCAATCAACTCCTCTTAATATAACAATATAATTAAATAATATCAATTAATTATGTTCACACATAAACTTTAATTCATTATTCATTTTCTCACATAATTTTAACTATACATGATTTCAAATAAATTCTATCTTACACCACATCAACTTTAGTCATTGCATTTGAAATATTATTTAAATACAACCTCAAAATTCCTCACAAACCCCAACTCGATCAATATTTTTTTAAAAAATTAATTCAACTTTTTCTTTTTTCACTAAATTTAAACAAAACAAAAATAATTTTTTTGCATATTAGACATTTCTCTTGTTATCTTGCACAGAGTCCACCGGGAAAGCGCCTCCAGCTCAATCTCTTCCGGTGCTGAAAGCCCTCAATACACAGTGGAGCTGCGGTTTTCTCTTCTACCACCGCCGCCAGTTTGCTAAATTCGTTAAGAGGTACGCAACATCTATTTGTTTATGTTTTCTCGTCTTCTAACCTTTGTAGCGATTGGTGCATAAGTAACCGAGAAAGGGTAAAGCCCCATTGCCGCCTGGTAGTTGAGAAATGCAAACTTTATTTCCTTTTATTCCTCGTAATTTCGTTTTACGTGTACAGTTATTATCTGATTTCAGTTATGTAAAGACTTCTTCGTATTTTTTTGATTACCCAAGGACTTAGATGGGGAAATCCGAGTCCACAATCGCCAATTCAAGTAAAATTAGATTCGAAGATAGTGATGACCATATAACTTCATCTGAAGATGAAGATGTAAGGAATTTTTCGTGTTGGATTTCCATATTTTTATTTCATAATTTTTGATTTTCAGCACTTGTTATTGTCATCTTCTTTTTTTAGGAGGGTGAAATAGAGAGAGAACTTGCTGAGGTGACATTTGAGGAGCTGCAAAGAGCTAAAGCTGATGGCTCGGAGATGGTTTACAGGAGGCCCAATGCGGACAAAAAAAGCAGTCGAGCAAATAAGAATAGGTTTTCTATCATTATACTTCATTGCTTTGCTTTTTTGTATGCTTTTCTTTGTGCTTAATTGTTTTGAGATTTGTTTAGGCCAATGGAGATGAGTAGCAAGAAGCCGGTCAGCAAATTTAGAGAAGTTATTCAAGTTCCTAAGAAGGTGGGTATTATCTTTTGTTTGATATGTAAATAATTGTTGGAATGTATGTATTTGTTTTTATATAATTAGATGTCATGGATTTTAGGCTAAGAAAGTTTGTATCCATGGTCGTGACTGAAGCCTAGTAATTATGTTTTCCTGGTGAAAATTTGAAATGATATATCCTTGTACTTCCATACCTATAGAAGTCATATTGCATCTGTGTTTATACATGCCATCACAAATTCGATAATATTTATGGTGAGTAATTGAGTGTAAATTGAATAGCACCCTTTTATTATACGATGCCTTTGCTTACAAAGTATGGATTGCTTTAATATAATTTGGACTTTATCACGTCGTTGGGGTCACAAGGTTGAATAGTTAATTTTTTTCTAGAGAAAGTGAAGATGCGTTGGTTCTGACATTTGATGCTTGCTTATAACATCTTTTGAGGGGAAAAGTCTGTTAATATAAGCTACCTTCATTTATAATTGAGGTTAATGCTTCTTAACACCTTATGCGCAGGTGGTACGGGATCCTCGATTTGAATCATTATGTGGCACACTCGATGTGGACGGGTAAACTTCTTTTTGTTCCATATACCCCCTTATTTGCACACCTTCAAGTGTCTCTATCAATCCTATTCATATATGCTTCAAAATTTGTTATGAATGTTAATGATATATATACATGCTTCAAATCTGTTATGAATGTTAATGATCTATGTCACCTTGAAATGTAGACACTTGTGATTTTGTCAGGAGTGATTAGAGAAGTACATTTCAGTTCTGTTATGGATGTCAAGGGTCTATATCACCTTGATATATAGACTCTTGTCAGGGCTGATTAGAGAATAGTATCTACCGATATGTATTTTTTTTTTTTTTTTTTTNTTTTTTTTTTTTTTTTTTTTTCGCATGATACAGTTTCTTGTAGTTGATCTAAGGCAATTTACGTATCTGTAGGTTCAAGAAGAGGTATAACTTTATTTATGATGAAGCGCTTCCGGCTGAGAAAGAGGTATGATTCAATATTCCGATGCTTGCTTAATTTAATTGCTATTATTTGATCCTCAGCTTTTGCACTCGATTTGGTTTTGGTGTCTGTAGGAACTGAAGAAACAGATGAAGAAAGCAAATGATCCAGAGGCCATAATTGAACTGAAGGATCGACTGGCTCATATTGTGAGAGCTTTTTCCAGTTTATGATTTTTATGTCTGCTTACTACATTTTTGTTTTCACATGCAAGTTGCTGATAATCAATGTCTTCTAATGTACTAGGATAAAGAATTGAAATCTGCTGTAACAAAGCGTACTGAGAAGAATATCTTGGCTGAGCATAAGAAGAAAGAGAGAGAAGCTGCAAAGAAAGGGAAACAACCTTACTATCTGAAAAAATGTAGGTTCCCTCTCTCTTTTAGATTGTCTAGTTATAGGAAACAAAGGAATACCATGAGTCATTTGACCATAGTAGTAAAACAATTGAAGAACTAATAGAAGAAAAAGAAAAAGAAAAACAATAGTATTTCTTGAGAAAAATGCACTTTGCTAATTTTAAGATTCCAAAAGTTCCTTCTCTTCATTCGGACAGTGTTCTCTTGGTGGCTTATTAGAATCACATTACATATCGGTTTTACGATTGCTTGATATCTTATCATTTTTTGATAATTGAATTTGCCTGATAATGGGAAACCAAAATTATAATTGTGTCAGACATTGAACACACAATTGTCATTAACACAATACCTTTGCTTGCAGCCGAACTTCGGAAGCAACAGCTTATCGAGAAATACAAGGAACTCAAGGTATATTTAGTTATTTACTTAGGGCACTTTTTGGATGTTTGATGAGATTAATTTCCTCTGCTTTTCAATTCAGTATTGCCTAGTATACAATCCTTTTGTATCCTTCCGCATAAATTTTAAATGGATGCATTTGGGAATTGTGATTACAACAAAGTTGTGTGGGACCTACTAAAAGTTACTTTTATATTTTCAAATTCATGACAAAGCATGATGACCATCAAAATTACTTTAGTGTCCTTAACGTTTTGAAGGCAATGTCTTTGTTAGAAGGCTATTATTGTCGTTGCACAATGAGGATAGAAAATGGGATTACAATAACACCACTTGGGGTCTGATGCACTATCACCCATATGTGGGATTTTTTACCGGGCCCAAGAATTTAGTCGGGCTCTTCTCATTCTTCCCAAATGCATGGATGAGACAGTATTAATTTTCGTTTTCCTTTTTTTCCCAATCTATCCAAAATCCGAAAAGAGTCCTTATAATACCTGTTATTTTATTGCTCTTGGGAGCCATGTTTGGTACTGCTGTCTTTATTTAATCATCTTTTGTTGTGAATCTATTTTTTCTTGTGATTAATCAGGAGTCTGGCAAACTTGAGTCTTTTATCGAGAAAAAGAGAAGGAAGAACGCCGCCAAGGACCACAGATACATTCCATATCGACGCCAGACAGAGAAAGGAAGCCAACAATAGAAGTAGAGAACTGTTTTTGCTTCACATGTCGATTTCCCCCTTTCTAAAAAAATTACTTACTTTTCGTGTGATAGACAAAACCCTAGATAAATCTCACATGTTATGATCATTTTAAGAATGGTGGAATTGTTTTGGATTCTTGTGGGTCTCTCAGTCTTATGCTTTGCATGCTGAAAACCCTTTGATTTTATTTTGGGAATTGATGAGTAACTGAAAATACTTGGAAGCTTGGTTGAGCCAAATGTCTTTGAGAAGTGTATTCCATTTTGGTTGAAGTTCTGAAATAAGATTGTGGATTGTCTGAATTTCCATAAGGTGGGCCTCACATGTAATTTAAATTCAACAGAAAGAAATATTGACCATAGACGCATGATGACATATCATTCATAATTATTTAAACAAGTGATTTTCATAATTTAATTGAGAAGAACAATAACCATTAATTTAAAAGTTGGTAAATTAAGTGGAAAAATTATTCAATATCCAGCCCGTTAATTTGAAAAACAACAATATTAACTTGCTGAAGAGTTAGCTGACAAAGAGGAACAGAGACATGACACTGACTAAAGATATTTCAAAGCGTGTTCATGCACATTTTATATTCTCCACATGTTTCTAGCACTAAGATTGATTTTCAAACAGGGCAACAAGAAGTCATTTTCCAGAACAGCAACATTTAAAGTAGATATTCCCAGAGAACACTCACTTTGACCTTGACCTGTTCAAATCTCAACTATAATTCCTACTTTGCAGAGAGAGAGAGAGAGAGAGAGAGAGAGAGAGAGAGAGAGAGATTTTACTTCTGTCCACAAAAACAAACCCTCATCCAAACACAACACCAAACTGGAGTTCCTAACCATACTATTTCCCCGGCTTGCCATTCTACAAACGAACCCTACGACTATAAAAAAAAAAACACAACATCCTATAAAAAGAAAAAAAGAGATCGGTCGCAATTAAAAAAGCTGTAACCTCTCCCTATGCTCGGCCGGACATATCAACACTGAATCTACACAAAGACCGCCTTTCGTGTGCGTGCAGTCAATCTGGGTCATCGAAAACTTGACCCTCATCGACCTGCAGTTTTTACCCACAGTAAAATCCCCAGCATGATAGTGATTCCACCTCCCGGCTTCCTTCAAGTTCAAGTAACACTGTTTCGTAGCCTGTTGGCCGTCCATAGTCGAGAGCTGAAAACGGACAGGCTTCCTTTCCCAGCCATGCACGTGCTCTGAGTTACACACAATCCGGCCAAACCTCTTGTGCGTACGGCCCAGCTGAAGTCTGAAAAACAGACTGTACGAGCCTGTGGGAAACGGGAAATCGATCTCGCCATTTACCTCGAACCACCATGTTTGCTGGAGATATGCCACTGAAGAGAATCNAATTACAATAATTTTTAAGGTTAGATAGAAAAATATGTGATTAAAAAGAAAAACAGGTTGTGAGATATTTCTACATTACATGATGTACTTAATTCTACCATTTCTTAGAAGATAGTACAGAGTAGAGGGTCGAAGATAGTCTCTAATATCAACATAAGGTGAAATCTGTGTCAAGAATTACAAGTAGTTTGATCATTTTGCATAGATCTGAGAGTTTACTTTTGAAATGTAAACAATGTACCACGGAACATAAAAAATAATCTGTGCTTATATAGTGTATATGAAAAATTGGCATTCCGATGACTGAAAAATGGGCCAACATGTGGCAGTAATTTTGGAAAAAAAAAAAAAAAATGAAGACTATCTTATTGATCTAATTAACTATCTCTTCCAAACACGAAGAGAAAACATTGCGAGATTGAACAACTTAAAATTTCTAGAACACGTGCGAATATGATAATCACCACTGACAATCATATACGATCTCCAAATACAAAAGCAGAAACATATGACCACTGTAATAAATTTTAAAACAGATTTCCCCGAGAATAACATGGGAACAAATTCAAAGATACTTGGTTCCGAGGCTATATCATATAACTCGTGATAAAGAACATTTATTTCAGGAGAACCCAAGCATGAAAAACCCAGAACACTCTTATTTGCTCATCTGAAATAATAACAAATGCAACAGGCCACAACAGATTCAGCTCCTAAACAAAATTCTGGCTTAAGAGAAACCAAAGGCACGATTGATTAAGAACCCTCACCTTGATCCTTCCATGGGGATTCGGCTCCAATATCTCCTGTCATCTATCCCTGTTATTGCCAATCCACTCGATGATACCAATGTACAAGTCTTGCCGGTGCTCTTATCCAACCACACTTTCTGGACAAAACCCATATGTACAAACTCCTGTTAGAACTTGTCTAAAATCCACCATAAACCCTTTTTTTCTTAACACCAAACAAACATCAAGAACCTTGCTAAAACCTTTTCAAGAAAGGTAACTCTTAATCCTTTTTTTCCCTATTCTAAACTTCACCCAAAATACAGAACCTTGAACAAACACGACCACATCAACAAACACACACATAGAGCTTTCTATATTAAAAATACAGATCAAATTAGAACAGCATAAAGATCATACCTTTGTGCCACCATCTAAAGGATTGGGCCTACATAGCCTGGAATAAATATCCTTTTTGCACAGCCCTTTACAAAATCCATCATCCTTCTCAAACACCTTATCAATAACATCTCCATAATTCAACGGCAGCTTGGACTCCCACACGAAATCCGCCGACGATGCCCCTCTAAAAGCCCGGTTCAACATCGCCATCCGGCAGATCTGCGGCGGGTCCAGGTACACCAGCACCGAGGCCACGCAGCTCTCCGGCAAGTCCCCCAACCCGGTCTCCGGTGACGGACCGGCGTCGGAGCTTCCACCCCCAGCCATAAACGAAAGCGACGAGCNAAAAAAAAAAAAAAAAAAATCAATTGAATTGAGCTTGCCTTCTTTGCGTGACAAATGATAATTTGGAGAAAAGGGAATGTACAGATGCTGGTGAGGATAGCGATTTAGAGAGAGAAAGTGAGGTGAGAGAGGCCAGTTGGCGCATATATAGCAGAGAGCTGTAGGTAGTTGTACGGTTGGCTCTGTGTTTTGTTCTTTTCTTATAGTATAATAATATAATAGTAATATTTTCTTTCTCACTTTCCGTGTGTGTCTGTGTGGAATTATTGATGGGATTATGTATTAGGAGGGTAATTAGTTGAAATGATATTTGGTTTGATTATAAATGTTATTGGATAAGATTTTAGTTCCATTTTAGGTTTGATTATCAATGTTTTTGGATAAGAATTTGGTTTCATTTAAAAGACCATTGTGTCCGCATTGATTGATAAGTATTTTTGTCATAGTTTTTAACTGTGTAATTAAATTAAGAAATTAAATTAAAATTATAAAAGGAATGATATGTTTGGAAATGTAATTACCTTAAATATAATGAGATTAGGCAAGTAGGTTAAATACAATGAAGGCAACACAATCTTGGATATAAGTAGTTATTAGGAAGGTATATTTTTGGTTCAATATTAGTTGGAAGATGCATATAAATTATAAATCTATAATGGTGGTAAATAATTAGAAATTGTTTTCTATTCGTTATGCACAAAAAAAATGTGAGTAATAATAAAAGGTCGTGACTCGTGATAACGTGTTGATGAGTCAGCAACAAAACCACTAGGCTAGCCATTTGGCATTTTTTTAACAATGCTTTTTATTATTATTTTAGTATTGAGGGACTTTTCTTTTCTTTTTTTTTTTAATTATGTTTATTTTTTGGAGCTTTTCCTACGAAGTACCTAAACCCTTTTTCATATTCCATTTCAGTCCCCACACAAAAAAAATTCCTTTTCACTCCCTATTACACTAAATATCTTACAATAAACTCCCTATGTTTAAAAAAAATGATAAATAAAATATACACATCACATCACCATCTACCAACTTATGATATTAGTTCTAATCTTCTTCCACAATCCACTCCCTCATTCCTTTTCACTCCCGATTTTCAGTGTTTTTTTTTTTTTTTCCTTGCTAATTTTGGTCTCCGGCGATCGTAAATCCGGCGAAAGGCACGGTGGTGACAAGAACTTGAAGAGTTGACGGGAACCCGGTTCCAATATTTTTACATATTGAAGGTTAATTTTTTTTTTTTTTTTTTTTTCCGGCAATATTGGGGCGATTTCCGGGCGAAATTTGAAGTATTGTGTATGTGTGTATTTATATGTTGAATGTGGAGTCCAAACAAAGTCTTGTATTCATAATTTTTTAGTTAATTTGGAAAGGGTTCAATTTTGTATATTTGCCCTAATTTTTTTGAATTTTGTGTATTGTTGTCCTTAATCTATTTTCTCTTGTTCATACATACGAAATTGACGTGATAGTTAGTTATGTTGTGTATCAATGACCTTGAAACAAAAACTAAGGTGACTATGATTCTTGTACCATTATGCATGCTATTGGTACCACTTTTTGAAACTCTAGTACCACTGGAATGACTAAATAATACCACTGCTGCTGGGAAAGTGTAACATGTTATTTGTTTTATTCAATTTTTGTTAGATACAATGGAAGGTGGACAAATTGATATACTAGCAAGTTGTACCTACAACAATGAATATTTTGTGTTCTCTATGAACCATGAATCAACTCTTGACCAAATGTACACCGTCATTGGTAAGAGGTGGCCAAATGTGAATGTGGAATCCGTGAAGTTATGTTATATTGCGCCAATTGGTAAAAAGCAAGTTAGCTTGGCGGACGATGAGGATGTGAAGAACATGGTTCGATTCCATTTGTGTTGGAAAGAAAATATTATAGAGATAGTTGCCAATGAAAAAAATCAAAGAACGGATCATGGGGTTCCATCCTTCCCGATGAACATGAGTAGGTAATGGCGCTTCTATAATATTAATGAATTTATTATTGAAACATGGTATGGTTGTATGATATCCTTGTTATGTTATTTTAAGTAACGTTCCATTATTTATGTTTACGAATGTAGGGATATTATACCGTATGATGATTTATCGGAGGGAGAATCGGAGCTTCCATTGGACGATAATTCGATTGAGTCGTGGAGAAATTGCATCAAAGGGGAAGGACAAGTTTTCATTAGCACGGATGATTTTCGAAAGCGCGTTAAAAACTACGCGGTTGCTAATAGGCGGTCTTTCAAATATCGTAAAAATGATAGCATGAAGGTCATTGTTTGTTGTAGCGACGAGGGATGTAAGTGGAGAATATATGCATCGAGACACAAAGCGGATAATTTGTTTGCCATCCTGAATTGCAATCTAGTCCACACTTGCGGAGTGGGCAATCTTCGCACAAGGGGGCATCCGAAGGCCGACTCTAATTGGGTCTCAAACATAATAAAGGAGAAATTGAGAGATCAACCATCATACAAGCCTTGCACGATAATAAAAGACCTTCATAGGGACTACGGCTTGGACTTGAACTACAAAAAGGCATGGATGGGGAAGGAAATTGCCATGCATGAGATTCATGGAGTAGACCGGGGCTCTTATGAGAGATTGGGGTGGTATTGTAATGCAGTGCGTCACACAAACCCGGGAAGCATTGCCGATTGTGAGATCGACCCCGTCGAGAATAAATTTCTCCGACTATTCATTTGCTTTAATGCGTGCCTTGTTGGTTTTTTAAGCGGATGTCGACCGTTGATATTTTTGGATGGCACTCACATAAAAAATAAGTACAAAGGTTGCTTGCTTAGTGCCGTGAGTAAGGATGCCAACGATGATTTGTTCACGATTGCATTTGCTGTGGTTGATGGTGAGACCGATGAGAATTGAGAGTGGTTTTGCTTGAAGTTGAATAATGCTTTTCTTTCCTCGGGCTTACCCGTGTTTAGAAGCTTCACATTTTTTTCGGACCGACATAGTGGGCTACTTAAAGCCATCCCTATGGTTTTTCCCGGGAGTCATCATGCTTATTGTTTGAGACACTTGGTCGACAACTTTAAGAAGCAGGTAAATTCCTTTATATTTAGGAAATTCATAATATAAGTGACATACATTTATATATCTTGACATGCATATAAATCATGGCATATATTTATTAATACTAACATGCACATGGCCTTTTTTTTTAGGTTTTGAGGAGCTACCCACTTCACAATAAGAAACATTGGTCATCGGTTTTCAAGAAAGCCGCATATGCTCCTAGAAGGCAAGATTTTGATTTGCATATTAATAATATATTGACGTCTATGCCTCTTGCTAGAGAATTCATTTTGGAGTCTAAACCACAATGTTGGGCAAACTCCTTATTTCCCGAAGACCGATGGGGTATCATCAATAACAATCAAGCGGAATGTTGGAATAGTTGGGTAAAGCCGGCACGATATATGCCTATTGTAGCCATG